TCTCTCTCTCTCTCTCTCTCTCTCTCTCTCTCTCTCTCTGCTTCAGTCGGGATCGATTAATTTTTGTTACGTATTGTTGATTCTAACGCGATTCAAATAACTGTGATTAAATGTATCCGTAATGGCGATTGATATTATTTGCAAGACGTGTTGTCACCGACTATATAATGATGATCATAATAATAAAAATGAAAGAATGAAAATAACGTAAGATACAGTTGATTTATTCGGGTGCAAACTAGAGGCAAAAGGAGGAACAAACATTTGACGGAAAGTACAGAAAAAGTGCGTTCTTAAATGCGCAATAGATGTTTCTGTTTATAATTGAGATTGTTCTTTGTAACTGTAAATTGACAACAGAGAATTTATCAAATGTAAAGGCAAACTTTTTTTTTAATTGTGAACTATATAAGAATTAAAGGGATTAAATAAGAAGTAAAAGAGTTAACGTTAACTTAGAAATAATGGCACAAAAATCTTCATATTCATCATCAAAGGATGAAGATTTTGAGAAAATAACTCAGATGTAGTTGTTGCAAAATAATCTCCTATTGTTCCCACATTTATAGAGAGAAAAAAGAGAGAAAATATTCACCTACAGTTCGATTAATAAATATATTTTTAATTGTTTTATAACGATCGTTGTAGTATCTCGGTTATATTTAATTTATATTTAATCACATTTACATACTATTTCAATATTAAAAGATTTACTATTACTAATTAATTTGTTTATTGCTATTGCTTTCAGTTATTTATTTTTGGTATTTTTTTCATCAATTATACACAGTGGATAAATATATTAAAATTTTTGTAACCTTTTAATTCACCAAATGCGCTAAATACGCTTCCTCGTAATTTCATCTTCTAGTCCTTTAGATTCAAATGTTGAAAGTTGCAAGCAACTCAAGCAGTCCCATTTGCAACTTGATAATACGGTCCCACTTGCAATTTAAGAACGGTTAAAGTAAACGTTTATGTACGTAACTGCAATCTAAGAACGGCTAAACTATCCAATGGATGTATCTGGTTACATTCGTTGCGAACTTAAGGCTTCTGAGTACTCGCCGTGGCTATGTTGGATTGTGATGTCAGAAGCGCCAAAAATTCTTGCGTGTTATTCCTAAATAAAAAATATTTAGGAAGAAACATTTTTCAGATTCAAACATACTAAAATGTTTCGAAAAGACTATCTTTTTCCCTTGATAGTCATAAAATGAACGTGGAGAAACTATGAAAAAAAGTAGGTTAAAGAGGAAGATTGCATCATATAGGAATGATGGATATATAGGTATACGTTCAGGGAACACGCGCTATCAACACTTAACCGTCATTCTAGCCTTATCGCTCTTTAGATGTACAATGAGTATATAATAGCATTGATAACGTGCTAACATCCATAGATAGCACACATGTTCTTAGTACAACGGACAGAGAGGTAAAATATAAGGGAAGTTTTCGTTTCTTGTCTGCGCAAGTTGAATGCGCAATGGCCTATTGACAGGCATTGGCGCAGACTCACGAAAATATGCACATAAAGAAATATGGATAAACGTAGTTCTCTATAAATATTGAAATTTGTGTTGTATTGACAAGCATATTAAAGGTCTGCAGAAGCTAAGAGAAAATCGTGATTTGATTGTGAAAGTATCATGCGGTGAAAGCGCGAAATACCATTCTGTGAGCATGTATATGTTCATATATACACAAATACTAATGATCTCACGCACAGATGCAAATTAGTGCAGCAGGACTACACTTTTCGTGCTATCTGCAACTTATTGAGTTCATCCAGTACTGGCTGTGTTCCAATATTCATTGCCAGCTCTGGAAAACTATAGTTTATATCACGTATATCATAAATTTTCAGCGCTGTCAGTAATTTTGAAACACAGCCACTGTACCCAGGTAACACATACACGTATCAGAAACGTTTCTTAAACGTATCTATAGCTTCAGAACCGTAAAACACCAATAAGAAACATTTTAACAAGAACTTTTCTGAAACCTTATTTATAAAACGTTTATAAAACGTTTCTTCAACGATTTTTTTCGCAAAAATAATGTTTCACCTAACATTTTTTGAGTGGACTTTTTACTCATGAGAAACATTTTGGAAATGATTATGAAACATTTGGTTCTAACGTTTATAAAACATTTCTAAAACGTGTGTGTGCTACCTGGGTAACTACTTATTTAGCGCTCAGTGAGTTTTTGCATCCGATTGGCATATTTATTTAGATCTAAAAATATATACGAATCAGATGCAAAAACTTACCGAGCGCTCAATGAACGGTTATAGCACTGGATGCACCTAATATATCTTTCAATAGCCACATACGCTATACATCTTTATATTATTTAAAAAAATTTTACATGTTGCAAACATTTGTCTAAAGTCCACTCTACAATGGTAGTAAGCAGTAAAAAGTAGGAAGTAAGAATAAGAAATTCACCAATCATAATCGTTAAGACCATCTTAAGTTCATTTTCAGATGCTGTACGGATCATTTTATTGGCTACAGAATATCTACAAGTGAACTTAAAACGGTTTTAAATATAACACTTGACTATGAATATAATTGGCTTAAGAGGCGCCGCACACGAATTGACATAACATTAACGTAAAACGTACCGTAAAAATGGACCAATTACAATCGAGTATTCACAAAAATGGCGATTTTACGGTTTGACGATACTCAAAGTGATTGGTTAATTCTTACGGTACGTTTTACGTTACTGTTATGTCAATTCGTGTACGGCGCCCCTAAAGCTCGTATCAGACTACGGATTAAGATTGAGATTGAATTGACCAATCAGAGCAAAATTCACTAAGCTCAAGTTTGGTGAACTTTGTTCTGATTGGCCAATTTTCAATTCAATCTCAATCTTAATCCATAGTCTGATACGGGCTTGATTCCATTTTACAATAGTAGTAAGTAGTAGAAAATATAAAAGTGCGGGTTCAATGGTCCGTAAACATTGGACCCGCATCTTAAAGCCCATGTCACACTACGGATTGGAAATGGAGGATCGCGGATGGAAGATTAGATTTCGACGAATCAATGCACTTTGGTCTTGGCCTGCTTGATTCCAATTGGTCAAGTTCCAATCTTCAATCCGCAATCTTCTATCTCCAATTTGTAGTATGACACGGACTTAAAAGCCAAATCACACAAGCGATTGATGATTGACGATTGGCAATTAAAGATTAGATTTTAACGAATCAACAAGCTTCAGCCTTAGCTTGCTTTGTTCCAATTGGTCAAGTTCCAATCTTCAATCGTCAATCATCTATCGCCAATCGCTAGTGTAATTTGGAGGAGCGGTGCGCTTGGACACGGTGCATTTGGACACAGCCAATCACAGCACCGTGTGATTAGAGACATTTGTAGAGTCTCTTGGAACAGCGACTTGTGATTGGACTGTGTCCAATTGCCCCGTATCCAACTGATATACACCCTAATTTGGCCTTAAGAGTGAGAAATTGACCAATCGCAATCGAATGTGAGAAGAATAATCAACTATGATTAGTCAATTTCTTATTTTTACTTCCTATTTTTTACAGCTTACTGCTATTATAGAATGAGCTTAAGTCTATCTTATATGTTTATAGATTGCATGTTAATTTTACGGCTATTTATTGACTGCAAATGATAGTTTTTGGAGCATCTTACAAATATTCTTAACAGAAGCGTTCTTTCATATGTTCTTTCATATCTTCTTAAAGATATATTTTCACATCTTCTTAAATGTTTTTTTATTTGGAAACACAAGAATTTTCGACATTTCGCTCCTGACGTCATCAATCCAGAGTTCTACGGCGAGTACCCAGGAAAGCCTTAAGAACTCACCCGAAGTGCAACTAGAAAGAACGAACCACGATCATGCGCGCGAGAGGCGCGGCGACATGAAACGTCATTGGTGAGTGTCGCGATCAGTTGCCAGCGATAGCGACTGGCAATAACCTGGCGTGAGTTGTTCCAGGTTGTTCGCGTATAACGTGCATGAAGCGTCGAAGTCGAACGTTCGCGTCGCGAGTGCATCCACGAGAGAGACGGGACAAAAAAAAGAGTAGCCGCCGAGACATGTAACCGGACTCGCAGCTCGATCAGCTTCGTTTTGTTCTTCTTGATGCAACCGTGCGTCGCGACAATTCCACGATAAAGCTGTGTGATGACTGTCACGGTGACGGCCAGCGAGTCGAAGTCGAAGCCGCGATTTCTCATCAGCAAGATCCTGATTTATTGACGAAGGCGAGAGGCGTCCGAAAATGACGGAGAGCTTGATAAACGAGTGGTTGGCGGACTGTAAAGACGTCTCGCAGTCGGAACTGCACACGTTCGCCAGCACGCTCTCGCAGGACAACGAGATCGTACGAGCGCTCTACATGCTTCTGGAGGAGCGCACTAAATATAGCGAGGTACGGCGAATGTGTCCGTGTTTAATCGAATTAACGAGCGTTCACCTCACGTAGAATCTCGGTCGTCTTGTATGCATAATGTCTCTGAGGATGATTACATTTGCCCTCAGCTTCTTATCGCCTTACTAACACCCATAAGCATCTTGACAGTTAGTGTAGTTTTACATATGTATAGAGCAACTGTCAAGCTTGATATGTGTTTGTGCTCTTTGCTTTCTGTTTCCTTTATATATATATATATATATATATATATATATATATATATATATATATATATAT